ATACCACGGTCAGAGTTGCTACAGTCTCATTTATATCGATATAAAACATACAGGTTTGCTAAATGAATTACAGATCGGAGTTGATGTATCGTGTGGAGAATAGAGAATAACAAAAATACTTAACTATTCTGAATCAGCCGATTATAAATTTGGGGAGATAGGTTGTAAAAGTAGTCAAATGTCACAATTATGATCAGCATCATTGGTATGTGATCCTATGGCCAGACCTAAAACCGTTTATCTCAGCGGGCCTGCTGGTTCTGGTAAAACAATACGTGCGATTGAACTATTTCGGAATCATGACATGGTTGTGTTAACTCCAACTAATAGACGAGAGAGAGAGAGAGAGAGAGAGAGAGAGAGAGAGAGAGAGAGAGAGAGAGAGAGAGAGAGAGAGAGAGAGAGAGAGAGAGAGAGAGAGAGAGAGAGAGAGAGAGAGAGAAACAGGGGTTAAATCTCATACTTATCAGAATTTCTTTCGATGGAAACAAGATACGCAGACTCCTGAATGCAATGGTGAAAAATATATTCCAAAGAACATTATCTGGGATGAGATATGCACGATATCCGTACAAGTATTAAAAATGTTTCTTGATTGGTTAATTACTCAAAATACTTCTCTTATGAAATGCTGAAATCATGGTCAACCACCACCATTTGTCAGCTCATCTCTGCATGACTAGCTGAAAGAATTCATAGATTATTATGAGGAGATATTGGTACTTTATTCGTCGATAAGGGAGTTCAAAATGTTAATCAGACTGCGTCCGGATAAGATTCAATGTAAGATAATGAGTGACATGATTACAGAGATGGCACGTGGGTGATTCTCGGAATTTGTCGAGGCCTCCAGATCTGATTGTCGCACCAGGTTTAATTATCATCATTGTGACTAAACTATAATCACAAATTCGTTATTGATGTTGAATTTATCATGACGTTGAAACAACGACAAAATAATTATTTGCGAGCTGCAATACAGTAAAGTTGCGGAAGTATTCTTTTTTGTGACATAAAACAATTTAATGCGGATAGAATTAATAGTAGTTTCGGAAAAAACACGCAAAAAAGTAATATTCACGTGTATTGAATGTAATCGACGTAAAGGTGGTGGCTCCCTTCTTGCAAATAATTCTTCACAAGAGTGAAGGTGGTATACGATAATGAGATTCTAGACAAAAAAATCCAGTTCGGATATTTTCCCGAGGCAGACACAACAACAACGATATTATATATGTTACTCAGTGATATCTCCAGATACCATAGTGATCAGAGATAATTGTAATATTTTGCTTGTCTTTAATGGTGTTGATATCCACAAAGTAAGAAACACCCTTCAGACTTGGTGTTCAAGGGATATGGATATGATTAAGTTTTACAACTTTTTCTCAATCGCAAGCGATTTCACAATGATTTCTCATAATACATTTGCATGCTCCTCGGTCGCGATATCGCATAAGTCTCGAAAATGTTGGTTTGGTAACACACACGAATGGTGACGACCAACAAGTCAGTGAACGAGGACGCAGAAAAAAAAGCGTTAACCTGGTTAGATGCATCGGTTTAGTTTTATTGACGCTTTTCTGTTCATTTTTGTAGGGAGTTTTATTTTCATAAATGGACTGTTGTAATAAGTGGTCTGTTCACGTCCTCTTCTGATGCATAAATTGATTGTTAAACTTTGTCCAACTTAACAGTACCTTATTCCATATTTTTTTTTTATAGACGAAGCATTTATTTTATATATTAAGCTTAGACATTAAAGGGGACAAAAACCCTAACCTGCAAAATTTTATTGTAAGTAGAATGATATGTAGTAGTTTGTGTATATAATCTATCCTGACTATTTTTTTTCTTTGCATTTATTGTATTTGCACAAACATTTAATAATAAAATGCGTTGAATTCCGAGATCAAATGGAAAGAACCTACCCCTCAAGTTGTTATCTCCCTTTCATACAAGCAGGATGTGACGTCATTTGAGACAATTCCCATACAACAGGCATATAAATACTCAGTGTCAAGTAGAAACGATGTTTCAATGCGCAGCTCTGAATTGTGTGAATAAAAGCAGTTCCCGACCAATAAAGTTTAAAACCTCACTAGCTTCTGATATTTTATTTTGCCATTATACACATACATTCACTCATATTTCTAGAACTGTCAGAAGTTTTCAGATTCATCAGTCAGAAGCAAGAATACATGAATCATATGAAGGTTGCAGATGAGAAGGTCTTGCGAATCGTGCTCACTACACATGATGGTAATATTTTATATTTTTTTACCTAGTATATTCTACACCCTACGGAAAAATCGTCTATATGATGTATCGTTAGAGTCTAAAAGGACAAAATAATTTACTGAATAGTATAGTTATTACACTTAATTTCACAACAATTTAATCACTTTATACATGGCTACGTGGTATTTTGTTTTTAACAGATTGGTTTATGGAGCCTTAGAAGAGGTGGGGGTGTAACATGTGCTCTCTCTCTCTCTCTCTCTCTCTCTCTCTCTCTCTCTCTCTCTCTCTCTCTCTCTCTCTCTCTCTCTCTCTCTCTCTCTCTCTCTCTCTCTCTCTCTCTCTCTCTCTCACACACACACACACACATATTTTCTCTTCCGAGAGCCATTCAGATTGGCAACAAATATTCCATTCTTGGTTGGACATTGGAACACATTTACTACACAAGCACCTGTGTGGAAAAAAAACTAAAATTTTTTGAAAAAAACTGTTGCCTGTTTGATATTTTAAATGTCCATTTCTTTGACGAGCATTCATCCAATTATGATATGTACAAGTCCATATTAATAGTTGTTGGATTAATCCAGGTTATAGAAAGTGAAAACCAATTTCCAGCCTACCCCCACCAAAAAAAAAAAAAACTGGCAAGAAAAACTCTGATCTGTAATATTAAATTGTTTTGACTTAAAAGGAAATGAAAAGAAAGAAGAAGAATTAATGAAACAAAACAATGAATTGTGAAATAAATCGTAATCGATAGAAAATTATAGCACTCTCCCTACCCGGTTTATTGATTAGATTTTGTACTGCTATTTAGTTTGGTATTTAAAATTAAAGGTAGTTTATAATCATCGTCATTGTCAAAACCTGACGATTACTGTACATCTTTGTCACACGAATTTGTCTCGGCTTCATACATATAAGGTTGGATGATCATGAAATATTCTACTTCTGGATTGTCATGCACATCACTGACAGTCGACATAATTTAAACATTCAAGTACAGCCAACTCATAGAATGGTTGACTGTATTATCACAGGAGTCTGCAGTTTTTTTCAATAAAGCACAAGGAAATTTCTGACTACATAAAATTACCTTAACGGTAATATAAAATAATTATTTTATAATACCGTTAGGTGTTTTCATGTAGTCAAAAATTTCGTCGTGCTTTGTTGATAAAACTGCAGACTCCTGTGCTATTATCAACAATGCCAGCGTGTACAGTGTCTCAAATGACGGCACATCCGCTAATTTTTCAGGGGGAGGGAAGTGCGTTAGTTTATTCAAGACGGATGGGGAGAGATGATCGGTTTTCCATAAATTTCTTCGTAACGAGTAAAAAAGAAAGGTACAAATTTTCAGAAAATTATATATATATATATATATATATATATATATATATATATATATATATATATATATATATATATATATATATATATATATATATATATATATATATATATATATATATAGCAAATTATATACGGAATTTGTGCGAATTTCAGTTTTACATGTTTGTTCCCTTTAAGTAATGGAGAACGAAGCTACTCGTAGAGAACCCGTCATCTAATGCACTTAAACGTATAATAACAAACTACATTCATAAAATGTCTCTCCGCAATTGGCAGAATTTGGGCTAATACTGAAGTATTTGGGTGCGTACAGTATCTTATGTCAGAGTACGAGGAGCATTACAAAATAAAATGAAGTTTATTTTTTAAAATGTTACACAAAACAGTTTCTTCCTGATTAAGTAATGACTAGTAATTTATCTCATCTGCCTTTTTCGACATCAAGTCGGTGAGAAGATAATCTAAGTTTCAAGGTGAGACTATCATTACTAATATATGAGTTGCATTCTAAACAATCCAGTCTAGTACAGACAGACAGACATAATTGTGGACACCTCTAATACATCTTTAGGTTTAAATGTTTTAAAGATGAAAGGTGAAAATATAATACAAATTCTTTTATATTGAAGATACATTTAAATTGAGTAAATTTCATAGATATCACACCACGACTGTCATGTGCTACATATAATCATATAATTTAGAATTTACCATTTCAAATTAGTGGGTTTTAAAGAATTACCTCTAGTTAAATATTACATGGAAAATTATCCAATTGCTTTTGCTACTCTTGGGCTTAAAATATTACCTTCCAGGTTATGACGGTTTAATGGTGTATTAGACTGGTCTCAAAATGAACGTCATCACGCCTAATATAAACAACATATCTTCCACATTTGTCTAACAATACAAGTTAGATGAGCCACTTTCAGAAGCTAAAGAGTGATATTTTATCTAATACAGCCATTGATAATTGTATTAAAGATCCATCCTTAGACAAGTGATTTCAGAAGATGCTTGTTTTTAGACCCAATTTTGACGTGAATACCAAAAACGGTTGTTATATATTCAGTTATATCGGACGTAGCAGTACAAAAGTAGACAATTATTTTCACTTTATTACCTGCTGGCTCCCTCGAGTGCTCTTCCCTTGATAATGATTTTATCAATATCTTCAAAAGCAACATACGTGGTGAACGGGACATCCTGGGAAAAAAATGTACATAGAAGTGGCAGCCTCCAATACTGTATTTGAAGTTTAAAACAAAACAGAAATCTTTTTTCCTTGTAAGTTTGTACATACATACATACATACATACATACATACATACATACATACATACATACATACATACATACATACATACATACATACATACATACATACATACATACATACCGCTCCAGTGGCCTAGTGGTTAGAGCGTCCGCCTCGGATGCGGGAGGTCGTGGGTTCGATCCCCGGTCGAGTCATAGGTTGGGTCGGCATGACGTCACAATCTTAGCGACCTACTTTCCGCCATATTGCGGAGGTGAAAACAATTGCTTAGTAACAGTACGTTAGCGTTAGCTATGTTCGATATTCCAAACCGTTTTGGTTTGCCTTTATTTTGTTTATTATTTCTGTTTTCTGTTCGGAAGTGCTGCGTAGTCTTCTGTGTGTCTGTCGAATATTTTTATAGATGTAATATATTTTCAGTTGAGAAGGGTGGCAGTGGGGTATACGTGTCACATACTTGTACACGACAATATACGCTAGTTAGTGTCAAGACGCTTTGAAAGCTGTGTTTCTAAAATAGTTTGTATATTGTACACTTTTCAATTATAAAATGGTGAATATAAATGCAATGATCATGACATCAGTTGGCCATTCTTGCAATGCCTTATGGCTACAAAGAGATGTATGATAGCGATGCTAATTCACGATGTTTACAGAAACTTAAATGTTGTTGAAATTAATAATTGATCTTATAAAGTATTAGCGAATATTTGTGTAAATAAGCCAGCGAAATGACCTGAAGTGACATGGCCTTATGTTTGCAACTATCTTACAGATACATTTGATAATATTTTTTTTAAAACAAAAACAAAATAATTTGTTCAATGGTATACCTTTTCCTTAAATCTTTTTTCTTTAACCAAACTGTAACAAAATCTGAAATTTTCAGTCAGTATTACCTGTGATCCTAATATTTTTTTTAGTTCTCATTATTTTATAATTTTCCATTAATATTATGCTTTCACTGTCCTTTTAAACCTTGATTAGTAAGCACTAAAAGTTGGCTTATCACACATTATTAACAAAGTAGCTCAGCTTGACCATTTACATACATCATTATGTACATGAAAATTGAAACTTATTCTACATACTAAAACATAATTGTGACATTGCCTCAAAATGTGTCCATTAATAAAAAAAAATTAGGAATGGGACATGTTCTGACAATTTTAACAACACTGACTTAATTGAATTCACAGATCTTGACTTCATGCATCTCTCTCTCTCTCTCTCTCTCTCTCTCTCTCTCTCTCTCTCTCTCTCTCTCTCTCTCTCTCTCTCTCTCTCTCTCTCTCTCTCTCTCTCTCTCTCTCTCTCTCAATTCGAACTGATGATAGTTTCAAGATTGTTCTATATCACGGGCAGAAAGCTTTTTTTTTTCTCCTTTGTAAATGCCGGCAAGATCAACTCGGCAGAACATTCAGTTGTTATGTCTTCTTAAAGAATGAAACCCTGTCTGCCAAAATCTGATCCCCAGGGTAATTAAATGCTCGGCTAATTTTGATATATCCTGATTTAAGTGATATTTCAATATCAGAAACACGTCCTCCTCAGATCTTGGATAAAACAAACAACTGATCCCAAGGGATTACATGCAACAAAAAACTTCACTGTTGTGTGTGTGTGGTTTTTTTTCTTCTTTTCTTGTTTTGTTTTTTGTTGGTTTTCTTCTTTTTTTTCGTAGCCACTGTAGTACTCGGCTTTTTCTTTGTAAACCTTTTGGGATTTCAAGGAAGATTTCAAAGCAGTTAATTATATTCGTCAAACGCAGAAAGTGCATCTTGAAAACATCGGAAAAGTTGTAAAAATATTACATTGGTCTGACCAGTGAATCATAAACTTGAAAAACGACAAATTTTCCTTTTGCAAACGATGGTTTGTGCACCCACAAACACTGCAAATCTTAAGCATATTTTAAAATGTTGTTTAACTGTCTCACACACGTTACTCAAGTCACTAGAACAATATGGCGGTTGTTTTCACCTCGGCTGTCGTAACTAAGCACTGACGTGGAAAAGTGCCCGGATTCCCGACCCAACCAATACCAAAGACTTACAAAAATGGTACTAACAGCTGCCTCGCTTGACACTCAGCATTAAGAGGTTAGTGTTATGACTGGTCAGGCTGGTGTCAGGATAATGTGACTGGGTGGGACATCATGCTACATGTCTGCGGCATGATGCCCCAGTGCTAGACTTCACTATATACTGCCACACTTCAGGCATAGTAGCGATAAGACTGAAAAATTGTTAAAAGCTACGTTAAAAATTATAAACAGCACACCATACACTCATACATACATACATACATACATACATACATACATACATACATACATACATACATACATACATACATACATACATACATACATACATACATACATACATACATACATACATACATACATACATACATACATACATACATACATACATTAAGTATGCTAAAAGCCTTAAACAATCAATCTATCAAAATTTAGATACGTACCGGGTTATAATGTGCCTCGGACATCTTTTTGTTGTGTAGGTACTGGCTTTGTCCTATTATTATATGTCCCTCCAGGCAATGGTCCTAGGTAGGTTAAGAGTAAAAGTCCTGGTTCACCGGACACGCTTTATAATATCTCATTTCCGACCTACACTTCCCATGTGATGATACATCATATCATCAGCACAGGGAGTATTCAGGAATCAGTACACAATTAATAAAATCCGGTTCAGTACCCACGAATGTAGTTCCAGTCTATTTTTAGATCTTTTTTTCCGGTCTAAATTTGGTGGTGATACTAGAGTTAGATTTTGGCATTCTTGGTAAGGATTTAAAGGCAATTGATTATTCTTTAAAATGTGAGCTTATGGTGTGTTTGTCTGTGTGTATTTCGGCGACAGTGCACATTGAGTAATAAGGTCATGGTGATGATCCGGAAGTGAAATCTGTGTTCCGTTGCCTGGTGTTTTGTTTACAATTCAGCCTCTCAAAAAAATGCAGGTCAACCCTTGACAAGAACTAAACCGTAAAGTCATCTTTGAAGGTATTTTAGATTAACATATGATTTGTATTGATTGTCACACAGTGGAAAGTTCAGTACTGAGAAACAAATGTAGAGACCATATAGTAAAATTAATTGTGTACTATGGCCTGTCAGTAAAAACTTGAAACTGATATAATTTTTTTTATTATTAATGACATATACATGAAATTTTCATATGTTATGTATATTGACTTTAAAAATATAAAAATGAAATTGAAAGTAAAAAATAAATTTTTATTTTAAAAATTTAAATGAAATTTAAAAAAAAAAACAATTAAAAAATAAAAAATTTCCACCAAGTATACATATATATAATATTTTTTGGGAATGATATTAAATGATATCAGCATATATATATACTCCTACACCATATACAAGCTCAAATGATGGATATTTGTCAAATTTGATCAGAGCAAATATCTTTATTAGTCAAAATGAGACCCTCATTTAAAATACATGAAGACAAAATTCTAATTTGCTTTGTACCTTTAGGTCATTGAAACTATTTATTTGGGGTTCAAACAGTTAATTTATGTGTTTATGATGGGGTCACTTATTGAGTAACACATATCTGCTTGTATAGCTATCAGTAATTGTTTATAACAATAGTTATAGGGTATTTAGTGAGAGGACAATGATGAAGACTTTATACTAGAACCTGTTCAAAATCTCTACAAAATCATATTAAGCTGTCAGGGAATGAAATACAGGTCAGAGGGGTAAAATATATTTTACCCAGGTATATTTACCATTGCATGTAAGAAAACAGCAAAATGATGTAAGTTAAACACAGAATGCATTCCATTTTATTGTTCAGTTTCTTTAAGATGTTGATTGATGTAGTGCGACATTGTAGCCCAGATGATATTATGGGAATTCTCATGATCCATTTTGCTTTATGCATTATTAATGACTAATAATATTTGTTATCTGACACTTTAATGATTACATAAGTAATATTCAAACAGAGTATTTGAATTTAACTTTCTACAACTGATCCTAACATGGTTACATAGCTGACATGAACAAATATGCATATATTTTGTAACGTTTGGAATCAAAAGTTGACATTGTTAGGCTGACATGGTACCTATAGTGAATCTGTAAGGCTCAGTTTTGACTCTGTGCACTTAAAATATCTCAAGATGTTATTTTCATCATGAATATGCCTCTGTATGGTAACACATTTCAATTTAGTACTTTGATAGAGGGCGGTATTGCAGCATCAGCTGATATTTGATTCCATTGAAACATTGAATCATTGAACTTAATAACTTGATAGCCAAGACTCTTAAAAATAGACTAAAAATGTTCAAACAGATTATTTGAATCATGTTTGCACATGTGATTTTAACAAGTACATTGCATATGTCCCACACATGCAAATATCCATCCTTGTTTACAAGTTTTCGGGATGAAAATTTCACATTTAGTTGATGATATAGGATCTATTGGTACCTATAGTTGATCTGTGTGGCCACATTTTGCTATATTCACTCACAATATCTAAAATTGTTTTTCCTTCATGAATAGGATTGCATATAGTAATAAATTTTAATTTGGTACATTGTCATTTGACTTTCCACTATACTGGTATGTATCATTGTTTGCACCAATGATCAAACCTCACCGTTCCAACATTGCCTTAAACTTTATGATACATACTCTACCTGATTAGTTATTTAACCTGTAAATGGCTAAATATGCTTGTAGAAACTTCATCTATTTTTAGGATGCATTTGTCACTTTAATACATACCCATTGCTTCACATCTTTGAGTGTCACTCTATCAAGTTTACCTTTTTTAACCACATTTGCAACCTGAATGTTATTTTGAAATCACCATATCTAACACATTTTAACTTCATTTGCCTACATCTTCCTTTTTTAAAATTAAGTGAAACATGTTATATATTTTCAGGTCTAGTCTGGTATCTGGAACAAAGTATTAGAGTTGGATCAATTTGGAAGCTCTCCAGTAGTCCAATGGTGATAGCAAGGTCTCATAAGGACATGTGCAGTGTGCTGCTATAAGTGACCAAGATGAGTTCATATCAGTACACTGATATACAGCATCTCAAAGACATGGCTTAGATCTTCATGAGAGAGATTCGCATCTTTTTTCAGTAAGGTTAAAATATATTTTCATATTGCATTGTTGACTTTTGTAGTTATCGGCATTAAAATGTAATGCATATTTGCTATAAAACATGGTAGTGGTCCCATCAAAACTTTAAATTTGAGTGGGATATTAGTTATACAAACAACTGTCCAAGTACCTGAAACAATAAATGTGGAACATAGTACCTGTCATTGTTTCTTTAGTATGTACACCTATATGCATCTGGATAGGCACATTGCAATTTGCTGTCAAAATCACTGTGAGCTATCATGCTTCAGTACCCCTGGGATTAATATTATCAGTTGTACAGACCTAAACTACCATTTGTTTTAAAGACCATTCATTAATCAGCATTGCTGCCTTAAATTTGTGAAACTGAATGTCATAACTTGTATGAAAATTTATTTTTTGTAAAAAAAATGTTTTTAAAATTTATATATTTTTTAAAATTTCCATTAAAATTTAATATATCAATAATTTTTAATTTCAAGACTATTTTCAGACAGGCCTTATCGAGTATTACAATTAGGTTTTTACTGCATTGAAAAATTCCTATAATTAAGGAAGATATAGCAAATTTAGTTTTGGTTTCTTAAGAACAATTGGACCTCAAATTGCACCCTATAGAACACCAGCACTACACACTTTCTGACAGCTGTCACATGTCTTGCTTGCAAGGAAATTTCAAAAGACTTTATGTAAGAAGTTGAAATAGTAGTGGCATGCAAAATAAAATGCAAATATAAAAGTTTGACAAAAACATTGACCCTTTCAGGAATCAGTACACAATTAATAAAATTCGGTTCAGTACCCACGAATGTAGTTTCAGTCTATTTTTAGATCTTTTTTTCCGGTCTAAATTTGGTGGTGATACTAGAGTTAGATTTTGGCATTCTTGGTAATGATTTAAAGGCAATTGATTATTCTTTAAAATGTGAACTTATGGTGTGGTTGTCTGTGTGTATTTCGGCGACAGTGCACATTGAGTAATAAGGTCATGGTGATGATCCGAAAGTGAAATCTGTGTTCCGTTGCCTGGTGTTTTGTTTACAATTCAGCCTCTCAAAAAAATGCAGGTCAACCCTTGACAAGAACTAAACCGTAAAGTCATCTTTGAAGGTATTTTAGATTAACATATGATTTGTATTGATTGACACAGTGGAAAGTTCAGTACTGAGAAACAAATGTAGAGACCATATAGTAAAATTAATTGTGTACTATGGCCAATGGTCCTAGGTAGGTTAAGAGTAAAAGTCCTGGTTCACCGGACACGCTTTATAATATCTCATTTCCGACATCATATCATCAGCACAGGGAGTATTGTTTGCATTTTTTGAACATGTATAAATATTACCTATGCAACTTTGCCACAAATATTCTCTTTTTGTCCGATTACGATATTTGAAATCATAATATTAATGCCTATATTCATAGAAATAAAGCAGTTCGAATTTTTAATTGACACTGTCATTTGTAGTCACATTTCAGACAAATAAGTAATTTTGGGCAAAACGTTCTTTTTTTGTAAGATAGGCACAAGATTCCCTTCTCCACATTTATCACAGAACTTTGTTGAGTTGATGTCAGCAAAAGAGCAGACATATAGTTGACATGTTTTTAAACCGTTTTTCAGTTTTCCTCTTTCTTCCCTCTATTGCTTATATTTCGCTTTTAGATTTTCCCGTCATTAAAACACATAGTGGTCAAGAATTTATTTTGGCGTTTGTGTTAATTAACTGTCCTGTAGATGCAAGTTGTTTCTGACGAAGAGCTAAACTGTTGTATATGGTACGCTGTATCTATTGTTATATATGCTACAAAATATATCAATATTTTAAAAAAACAAACAGAAACGAGGCAGACCAAGTCTCCGTTTTTTAAAAAAAAAATATGCAATATGTGGTATATCAAAGATGCCGCGTACTAGTATACTCTTCATTTATTTATGTCACATACAAATGCACGTACTTGCATTTCCAGCGGAGTTAAGATTGGCTGCAGGAAACTGTGTATTGAGTAAGGGTATGAATTCTTAACATCTCTGCCCACTGTCCTCTACCAAATATAGTTTATACCTATTGCAGCTATTCACAGTCTTCTTCCGAAATTGATCATTCGCTGCTTTTGTCTGTGTGTGCATGTATGTATGTATGTATGTATGTATGTATGTATGTATGTATGTATGTATGTATGTATGTATGTATGTATGTATGTATGTATGTATGTATGTATGTATGTATGTATTATGTATGTATGTATGTATGTATGTATGTATGTATGTATGTATGTATGTATGTATGTATGTATGTATGTATGTATGTATGTATGTATGTATGTATGTATGTATGTATGTATGTATGTGCTTGAGAGTGATTTGAATTTTTAACGTGATTTTAACAATGTTTTTAGTTATATCACCACGATGTTTGCATCGTGGCTTTAGTAGTGATGACTAGCCTAGCACTGGGGCATCATGATGTCCCACCCAGTCACGTTATCCTGATACCAGGCGGACCACTTAATGCTGAGCGCCTAGCAATGCTGCTGTTAGTACTATTTTAATAGACTTTTGGTAGGACTCGGCCGGTGTTCGAACCCGCGACCTCCCGCAACCTGAAGCAGACGCTCTAATCACTAGGCTACCGGAGCGGTATCCTATTTTTGGAGCCACTATATTTATTGGTTTTGATTAAATCAAACTAAGACTCACCTTTGATTTAAAAGCGAAAATGTTTTAAATGGTTAAATAAACAATGCCGAACCCAACAAATACAGTATCGCTTGTGTATTGAACACTGAACGGGTAGCTAGCTATTCGGTCACCGGAGAGTTTAATGAAACGAGTAGTTTATATTGGCTAAACGAAATAACGAACATGAGGTAATTGAAATATTTAAATGCATTTACGGCGGATTTAAGTCATTACATTAATATGCTTTCAATTAGCATCTCTCTCTCTCTCTCTCTCTCTCTCTCTCTCTCTCTCTCTCTCTCTCTCTCTCTCTCTCTCTCTCTCTCTCTCTCTCTCTCTCTCTCTCTCTCTCTCTCTCTCTCATGGGTCGATATATCTGTAAATGTTGCCATTATTCATAGATCCAGAGGCATCATCGAATGCCACGTAAAAAAATAGGCCCACTACACAGGCATGTACACGGATTTTCTCCCAAAGCTTTCGAAGATGGTCCGGGAGACAGACAGACATAAAGGAGGGGGGTAGCTGGATATGGGGAGACTTACCAGAAGATTATGATTTATTCTACATCCCTCTATTTATCTGTTGGCTGATTAGTCTGCTACCTGACAAACCAACCTAGTGTGGGGAAAAGAGACGCTGAGCGTCCTTCGCACATTTTAATATTAAATAAAACCCTGTTTTAAGAACCTTGTAATAGGTTTCCAGTCAAACAGATAGCAGTATGTGTATCCATCATACGCCGAAAATGTAATGCATTTAGTGGCAAAGAGAGGTGGATTTTGTATCAAACAGGTGTAAGCTGAAGATAAGCTTGTTTCTCGGCACATACTGTTTGCAAAATAAATGGATTCTAGTCAGTCCTGAAGAACCATGACAGTAATTCCTATGAAATGGTATACAGACCTGTATTGGCTAAAAGCAACATTTTTATTTTGATGAAGACAATAACACATTTTCTCCATATATTTTGGTATTAATAATGACAAAAATGCTTAGTTCCAAATATTAGAATGATCATCCCAAAGTCTGAAAAAATTAGTTTTCTCTGCTCTAATGTATTTCTGTTCATGCTGAACTATCTATTGTACCACAATACTTATGTCGGTTTTCTAAACTTTATTAATGAATGAATTTTGAGCTTAAATCTCTCTTGGGGGGGGGGGCACCAGACAGATGCCCCCCCCCACTACTTAGCCGAAAGAAAAAAATATCAAAATCTCTAACCACTTTCTTGGTATCCTAGTAAGGGATTAGTAACTATTGCTTAGTCCAGGTTATTAGGAAATGTAAAATCTTGGGTATTGTTACAGCCTTTGAAGTGTAAACAACGCCGCAGGCCAGTGTTAATTCATTCTGCAAGTTGCCTGTCACCCAGACTATAAAATATTCGCTGGTCAAAGGCTTGTAGTCTTCCCACCCAAGTGCTAAACAGTGGTTCAGAGATCAAAAGAAGGCCCGCAGGGTGAACAGGGCGTGTTATAACCCGCCACATAGACAAGCGAGAAAACATTGTCCGCTAAGTTGGATTGGTGCAGTCCATAGCGACACACAATCAGAATTAAAATAGATGCTAGGATTAAACCTTAGATCAGAATTTGAGCTAAACCTCGCTGTAAAATTATCAGTTGATACCTAGGAAGATTTATAAGCAGTAGGTTTGTTAATCACAGTGGAAGCTGTGATTAACTTGAAAGGAATCTTAGGACCAAAATTGTAATAGAAGGAAAAGCTTCGAAAACGTCAGAAGCTTTTCGGGGGACAGAACTTCTGGTGCAAGTTTCGTAGTCCCAAATCTCTAAGAGGGAGACGGGATAGAGCGATAGAGATTAGCAGAGCAGTCGAGTCGACGAAGGGTAGTCGACATAGAGAAGAGGGATATAAGGTAAAGGAGGAAGAAAGCAATCTGGAGGAGGAAATAGAGGCGTAGGAGGAGAAGGAACTAAGAGGGAGTGAGGGAGGAAGAAAAGGAATTGGAAGATAGAGAAGAATACACAGACGAGTAGTACACAGGGACAGATGGAAATCTCTTACATTACGAATCAAATGATGCGATAGGTTAGAAAAGGGTCGAGCGAAAGAAGTGTATTTGGGAAATTTGAATTACTGACCATTTAACTGTTATTAAATTGTTACTATTGAACGTCACCCTTTTTATATCATTAATCATTAACCATTGGTATTGCTAAGATGGGGGCTCGGCGTTGTACATCTGACTTTCACTGAATCAACTTTTTAACCAAAATCGAGCCTGAGTGGGACTACTACAATAATTTAAACAAATATTGGAAGCACCCCAGCCCCAATCAATACAACTAAAACCTCACAGCGGGAACAACCGTTACAGGATTCTTGGTAAAATGTACAAAATTTAAGAGTATTGGTGTAGACCTCCAGCCACATGTAACTAACTACTTTCTTATATCCTGGTTTCTAATGTGCCCATGCTTTTGCAAATGACTACACTTCAATAAAATGTACTTTGTCAAGTGTTCAAATGTCATACACAAAACAATACAAATAGCTAGTTATCACAAATATAGAAACACATCGCGAAATCACCACTAATACGTACATAATTGTACAACTTCGTGTCAACTCTTTCCCTATACGTGACTTATTCGACACACGGTAAAAAGCACATGCATATATACATGAATACGTTATAGTCACCAATCATTAAGTATGTTGTGCTAAATTTAATCAATAGTCATGATTAGTGACGATCATGACATCCACCAGGACTGAACTTAGTACCATCTTGTGAAGTATGCAACTGCTAAATTATCTAACTTGATTAATTTATATTTTTTGTTAAAAATGTGTCATGAATATGCAAGATATATCCCAATTAGGTATATATATATATATATATATATATATATATATATATATATATATATATATATATATATATATATATATATATATATATATATATGATGTCCGAAGACTTTAACTTTGCCGGATTGGTACTTAGAAAAGTACATGCGGTTGAAGTTAAGATGAAAAGAAGTCAAATGTAAACAAGTAAATAAGCTAATTTATAGTATATATTTCATGAATATTTCGGAATTATATTTGGTATTATCAGTATCGACCACAACTTTACTTCCATTACTTCCAATATGGAAAGTTTGATAGTTATCGGGATACAGGAATGCCTGTAATATGACTGTCAGTCAAGGGACCAGTTGTAATGGAAGAAGTCATTATGGCGTCCCCCATTTATTCCTGACATCGTAATTTTTGCCACGTGCATTATACGCATGACTCATTGTATATGAAAGTATATAACGCTCACTGCGTCTTGTCCAGTTTTTATCCAACAAGATAGATTAATTACAATGCAATAGCTCAAAACTCTCTCAAAACGGTGATCTATTCGTGTAAAATATAATATTGCATTCTTTATTTTAGCACCGCTCCGGTGGTCTAGTGGTTAGAGCGTCCGCCTCGGATGCGAGAGGTCGTGGTTTCGATTCCCAGTCGAGTCATACCACAGACTTACAAAAATGGTACTAACAGCTTCCTCGCTTGGCATTCAGCATTAAGAGGTTAGTGTTAGGACTGGTCAGCCTGGTGTGACTGGGTGGGACATCATGCCCCAGTGCTAGACATCAGTTTATAAGCTGCCACACTACAGACATCGTAGCGATATGACTGAAAAGTGTTAAAGCTACGTTAAAAATCACATCATATCACTTTATTTTAGCTCATATAAAATATATTCTCCGTAAAACCGATCCTCCCTTATTATTTAAATGTCATTTTTCTTTTTTGTTGTTGTAGGGCTTAACGCTAATTTGCAGCACACGATAGGCTATACATGGCAGCCAGTATTAATGGTGGAGGAAGAAACCGGGAATCCAAGGAAAGAACCACCGACCCACGAGAAGCTACTGGCAAGCTTTATCACCTATCACATATCCACATTCGCCGAATCTTAGACTCGAACCCACGCAGACAGAGGTGAGATGGCAGTGATCCAGTTTTCTTTAAGCTCACAAGATATAACATTAAACTGATTTTGAATTACACGTGATATTTGACTATACCACACCCACCAACCATTTAAGCCAGCTCGTATTACCCATAGCCCTTAAAAGCCATTATATCAATTAATCCGTCCCAGATGTGACTACATAAGAATTTGTTTTCTTAGTAATTTCGTTTTAGGTACATGTCCTGCCTACAGTCAATGTGCTTTTATTTATTTATTTATTTATTTATTTATTTTATTTATTTATTCTTTCAATCAGTCTCTTTCAGTTTTCTTTCGGTTTCTGCTGTGTTATTATCTCGTCACCTGAAGAATATTGCATCTTGCTATTGATATTGCACCCGTAGGTATTTGATTTCCGTCTCCGATGACTGTGTTAGTTGCATCCCTTTTAAACCACTATTATTACATTGTAGTATTTGTCTACCTCTAGTATGTGAAGCATTCTTTACGGAAATGGATTTTGTTAAGTTATGAGAACCGGTAACCAAATCCCACCCTAACACTTAAAGGGGACAAACACCCTAACCTGCAAAATTTTATTGTAAATATAAAGATATTTAGTAGTTTGTGTATATAATCTAACCTGACTATTTTTTTTCCTTTGCATTTATTGTATTTGCACAAACATTTAATAATAAATACGGCGTTGAATTCTGAGATCAAATGGAAGGAACCTATAGTTGACAGTCGACATAATTTAAACATTCAAGTACAGCCAACTCATTGAATGCTTGACTGTATTATCATATGAGTCTGCAGTTTTATCAATAAAGCACAACAAAAATTCTGACTACATGAAATTACCTTAACGGTAATATAAAATAATTATTTTATAATACTGTTAAGGTGATTTCATGTAGTCAGAAATTTCGTCGTGCTTTTTTGATCAAACTGCAGACTCCTGTGCTATTATCAACAATGCCAGCGTGCACAGTGTCTCAAATGACGTCA